CAAAGAAGTGATGTCATGACTTCCAAACTAAATCACGTACTATCCTGCTCTGCTTCCCACACAGATTGTTAAAATGGCTTGCTAGGAGAGAATTAAGATGTAACAGAGATGGAGATGAAAGAGGGGGAGAAAAAGTTCAAACCAACTGCAGAGCGTCCTGGAAGAATGGTGAAAGAATTAGCATGGTCAGAAAAAATAAAGGAGTTGCTTTTTCCCCAGTGTGGTTTTCCAAGAGTATTTAACATTTGGCTATTTCCTTTCATTGCTTTCTGCTATTCAAACATCTTTGTTATTTAGCTGTTCAGATCAAAAGTGGGTGTTTTTCCTATAAAATATAAAGAAAATTCCTAAGGCAAACTGTATTTCCATCTGAGTCAATTGTGTGTGGTTATCTGAAACAGGATCAAACGGAAAACTGGAAAACTACATGAACTTACTCAGCAGGCCAAATGGTTCAAGAGATGCCTGAGAGTCAAACCTTGCTCTGATCCAGTTTATTCAGAACTGAACAGCTAGGTTAGGGCTTGTGCTCCATGGCACAGTCTGTGTGCCATTCTCGGGAGAGTTATAGTAGTGAAGACTCTCGAGTTGGGAACTCAAGAGAATAAGTGTGGACCAACTTGGTAAACACAAACATTCCCTGTTTGTTTGGACTTTTTTTCCATAGGAAGACTGTGGAAGGATGCTAATTTTGCAGGTAGAGAGGGTCAGCATTCAGCCTTAGTGGACCTGTTGCACAACAGTTTAGGTTCCTGGATTGTGCTTGAGGAAGAGGGTGAAGAAGTGAGGAAGGCTTCATCTAATCAGAGTAGGAGGAATGAATGAGAACTAAATATCAAGGAACACTGAGCAAGGATGGATGGGCAAAATAAGAAGGGCACAAAAAGCCAGAGTTTGAAGAAAGCAGTGCCTCTCTCTTGGCCTCAGAGGGCCCTGAAGTCAGATTCAAGGACTGCCCATGACATTGTAGCTACTGTATGTCCCTTGGCAGATAGTGATCCAGCCAGGGAAAGTGATCATCCCTTCTGCTTTTCAGGTCTGGAGAAGTCAAGAACAGCATCCTGCCTGCTGAGTGAAGGCTGAACTGCCTGATCTGATGGACAGGAAGGGGGCAAGTGGAAGCACCCAGGAGCCTTGTTCATAGTTCCTCAACTCTCCTACCCATTACGGGCTTCATTCACCTGGGCAACGCTGCAGTTACTATGCTGAATATTTAAAGAAAGCTGCAAGGGGCCTGGTCATGGTCCTCACCAGCAGAGCCACACCAGCTTTATGGTCTTTTCTTGGAGCAATTTGTTGTCTCATCTCAAAGACATATTCAGCCTATGTGAAGGACTTCAAGAGACTGGGAAAGTCTCCCTGAAAGAGTTCCTGAGGGAATGCGATAAGCTACCTAGTGACAATGACAAGGGTCATAACTGGTTTTAACCTATCAGAGATCAAGAGTCCATTTCTATCCTTCTGCACTTACCAACTATTTGAAGATAGTTCCTCTATAAGAACCTCAAGTGCAATAATATTTGAGGAGGAGGACTATTGAGGGGAAAGGCAGACTGGAGGTTTAGGAAAGAATTAACAGGTCATTTTGAAGAGTACCAGGTCTAGCTTTGAACTGACCCTGCTTTGAGCAATGGAGAGGGTTGGATAAGAGGCTTGAAGGGCAAATCTAAATTATTTGATTTCCTATTTCTAAGTGAGAAGCATGATTTTAATTTTTTTTAAAATGTTTTTCCTGTTCTCTTTTAAGATAATTGCTAAGGCAGTCAGCAAAATAAAGACTTTGATAAAGAAGTGCAAGTAAGAATTATTCTTACTAATACCACCCAGTAATGACAAGTGTGACACCAATAAAAAGAGGAAAATTAAGTGTTTGTAGTATCATAGTTACAGAAAAATGACTTGCTAACTTTTCTGTCCCGGACACAGTTTGATCAGAACATGCATGCTCATGTACAGCCCTAGGCAGCTGGACAGGGTCCCTTTGAAAAGAGAAGGAACACCTTATGGAGTCCTGAAAAAATCTTCAAAACCACTGCATTAATAATCCCTTCACACATGGCTACATGTGTGCATACACACACGATGCAGAATCAATAGCTCTGTAAAGACAGGAAGTATCAGGTCATTCAAACAACATTCACCAGCTATCTTTATCCACTCAAGCAGTTTTATAGCCCTAATGAGGATAAAACAAGCATATGATTCCTTCAGGATCAACATCTCATCTCTATACCTCAGTCTTATGCTGCTTTCTACTCTGGCAACAGCATCCAGTCTCAGGCAATATGGGACTTCATTTTGATAGACAATGCACCAACACACAGAGGAGGAGACAGAGCCCAACATGAAGAGGTTTCAACTGAAATGAATGCCTGATTCCAAGGCTAACAGAGAATTTGTCCAATGCCCTGCAAAGCACATCAGGAAACAGGCCGTGAACCTCCTTACTGATCCTGCAGACTTTCAACAGAAAAAAAAGATTTTGCCATATGTAGTTATTTTGCCAATTTAAACCCAAGATTTTAGGCTCAAGTCAGGGTAAGTCAGAAGACCTGTATAGCTCTCATGTGGAACATAACATCACCAGCATGTACTGTGGCATATCAGCTTGGTGCCTTTCTAGACACATACATGGAGCTGTGATCTGGTCATGGAAAAATTATAAACCCATCACCAGAACAACAAATGTCATTTTAAGGTGAAGTAGCAACTGATTCTGAAAAGATAGGGAGGATGAAAGGATGGCACAACAAGATATTTTCATTTTATAAAATGCACATATCTTAAAGCTCCTCATTAGTTCCTTTCTTCAGGAGAAGAAATACCCACAGATTATCTCTTTTTAGACCTCAGCCCTGTCCACACACATTTGTTAAAGAGAAATTAGATCCTCACTGACCTGTTCCACTCGGATATCAAATTCTCCATTCACCTTCTTCCCCTGGAAATATTTGGCCCTGCAGAAGAAACAAGGGAGACAAACATGGTCAAATAAGAGTTTTGGCTTTCATTACATATTGATTTGCTTTTGCATTTCCCTTTTTGCTGAAGAATTTCTATCCGGGTCACAGCATGTTTTTCTAATTCCTATCTTATTTCAGTTTTCTGTTCTCCGGGAGAAACCTGCCAAGTCAGATGAAAACCACATTGGAAAGTTCCTTCAAGGCTTCTTACTTTTTTTCATTTTATTTTAAAACTGAAAACCAAATGCTCTTCTAATCTTTTCCAGAGAACAACTCTAATCAATGATTCCTTGCTTTATCTCATTTAATACTCAATCTTTACTCCATAAAAGGAGAGCAACATATGGCATGGCACTGGAAACTTCTGATGTTGAGCAAGGATCTTTAGCATCACAGCTGAAGTGCTTGTGAAGCCTAGTCTCATGCTCTCTTGCTACAGACCTGTTTTTCAATTCTGTTTGTCTTTCTGCTGCTGATTTAGAAAAACCATGGCTGCATCTACAATGTCACTAGTGAAGGATCTCTTTTCCTGAACTGAGAAACTGTGTTTACTTTGAACACTGTTGTGAGGACACACACCTTCCACCACCTCTGCTCCTAGCTCCCTAGGCTATGCAGACAGCAAAGCACTTGCAGAAGTGTCTGTTGTTCATGAGACGGGAAGGCTGAGAGCAGTGTTGGAGAAGAAAACATATGAAAAGGGCAGGCAGTTTTAGCTTTTGGTATTTATATTTATGTATAATGCCCCACATCATAGAATCAGAATCCTAGGTCAACCGGATTGGAAAAGACCTCCAAGGTCATCAAGTCCAACTCTACCGTCGTTACTAGACCATGGCACTAAGTGCCACATCCAGTCTCATCTTGAAAACCTCCAGGGATGGTGAATCCACGACCTCCCTGGGCAGCCCATTCCAATGCCTGAGCACTCCCTCCGTAAAATATCTCTTCCTAATACCCAACCTAAACCTCCCCTGGCAGAGCTTGAGTCTGTGCCCTCTTGTCCTCCTGCTAGTTGCCTGGGAGAAGAGACCAACCCCCACCTGACTCCAACCTCCTGTCAGGGAGCTGTAGAGAGTGATAAGGTCTCCCCTGAGCCTCCTCTTCTCCAGGCTAAACAACCCCAGCTCCCTCAGCCTCTGCTCATGGCACTTGTGCTCGAGTCCCTTCTCATACTGATGAGTCAGTGGGGAAATTGCCAATATAATTTCCCCTGTGAATATTTCTCCCCAGTTCTTCCCCTTACCAAACAAGCTTGACAGAAGAAAATATGAATATACTTTCTCAGACTTCCTTCCCCATAAACTTTAAGAAGCCCATGTAGGCTGCAACTCTTCTGGTTGGAAAGCATTGAAAAACAGTTTAGCCCTACAAGAGCTGTTTCCAAAGACAAAGTAACTGTGGGTTCTGTTTCCAATTGGCAAAGACAGGACAGAATAAAGAAGTAAAGGAAAATGAGGGGAAGCAGCTTTGCTCCCTATTTTATAGTATTAGCTAAAAAAAAAAGAAACATGGCTCACATTTTTACTATGTGTCTATTTGTTCCAATATAGAAAGGAGAGACAGTAGGAAGGCAATTTTCCCCATGGCTGAAACACGCCAGTTTTTAGTTGAATGCTCCCCTCCCTGAGAACTGCAAAATGTAAATAAAAAAGTTGTTTTGTTTTGTCGTTCTGGCTCAAATCCAAGTCAAAAGTTTTCATTTTAATGGAAAAAGACATAAAAAATGTCAAAAGTTTTCTGCTTCATTCTAATGAGGGTATCTGAAGGTTGGATCATGCTTCCCTTCCCAGACAGCCCATCCATTAGCATGGTGCGAATAAAACTTCTGCATAGGTGTGAGTGAGGCACAATGTAGCAGCCAGGTGTGACCAAGACCAAGTGGTTTGAACAACCCCTGTCCAGTATAAAAAGAAGAACTCTGGCCATTTTTCCTCCTTTTTTTGAATTTATGAGTGTTGCCTGAAAAAAAGCAACTCAGCAGACAAGCTAAGACATCACGCCTCTAACAATAAACAGGAACTCTAAATGCACTTAATAATTCCATTCAATTTCTGGAGGCATGGCTTTAGAGGGTCTGGCAACATTCCTCACTCCTAAACATTGGGGATATTGCTGGAACCAGTGACTTCTTAAAAACTGGAATAAGCTTTAAGAGGACCCACAGGAACTGGTCTGAAATTTGAGGCTCACCATTCGCTGGTACAGGCTTGTTTTTATTCCCAGCACACTCATAATGTATACTGCTTACCCACATTTATGAAACACACTTCCTCCCTCTATGGCCTCTCCTCTTTGCTGACCAGCTGCTTGCAAACTCCTTGGTGCTGCTTTGCTTCAGCTTGTAATGAAGTGCGATTAACCGCAGTCTTCAGCCCGGTACAGATGGAGCAAAGAGGCTTCCACTGCCTAGTCCAGGAAATTAGCCTTCACACAGTTAAAAAATCCTCTTTCTCATCTCTACAGTACTGGCTGTGCTCATGGATAATCACACAGAGGGCATATCCAGCATTAGGAGTTGCTGGAGTAGAGCAAAGGACCTCATAGAATCAATCAGTTTGGAAAAGACCTCCAGGATCATCAAGTCCAACCCTATCGTGGTTACTAGACCATGGCACTAAGTGCCACATCCAGTCGCAGCTTGAAAACCTCCAGGGATGGTGAATCCTCCACCAACCTGGGCAGCCCATTCCAATGCCTGATCATGCTCTCCATAAAAAATCTCTTCCTAATATCCAACCTAAACCTCTCCTGGCAGAGCTTGAGTCTGTGCCCTCTTGTCCTGCTGCTGGTTGCCTGGGAGAAGAGGCCAACCCCCACCTGACTCCAACCTCCTTTCAGGGAGTTGTAGAGGGTGACAAGGTCTCCCCTGCGTCTTAGATACTTTGTGACCTCTTCATCTAATCCCTCTTTCCACACAGATTTTGTTATGCTGTGTCCCAGATAACTTTCTTTTAACAGCACAATATATCACTTTCTGTCGAAGACAGCCCCCCAGGAGGCTTAACCTGCTCCAAGTGTCTCTGAAGACTACAGGTGCTAAGCAATTTGCAGCCAAATATTTTGGTCCTGCGTCTTAGATACTTTGTGACCTCTTCATCTAATCCCTCTTTCCACACAGATTTTGTTATGCTGTGTCCCAGATAACTTTCTTTTAACAGCACAATATATCACTTTCTGTCGAAGACAGCCCCCCAGGAGGCTTAACCTGCTCCAAGTGTCTCTGAAGACTACAGGTGCTAAGCAATTTGCAGCCAAATATTTTGGTCTGGCCATTATTTTAGACTAGGGCATAGAATAAAACACTTCTTACTCAAACATCTCTGAAATGGGAGAAGTGATATTTTCAATTTGCACCTGGGATTTTGGAGTCCCTGGGCAATAGAGGCTTATTATGTTGAAATGAAAAATGGCCTTAACCTAACCTTGGAGCCCCTAAAATTTTAAGCAAGCTGGAATCATTGCTGATGCTGTACAATCATCGTATCGTGATGCCTCTGTTGCAAGAGAGAGAGTCTGTCTTTTGGTCAGGTCTGCACAATGTATGAAATGGCTTCTGGTCCCTACAGTGGATCAAAAGAGATGGTGAATTACGGAGGAGAGCAAAACCACACTGCTCTGGTGGGGATGCATGAGAAAGATATTTCTGGCAGGTGAGACTGCAAGAGATTTGTGGATGCTCTCTGCCCCAAAACCACCTGAGCAAGGCTCTTTCAGACCTCTGCCTAGGACTTGACATGATGCAGAGTTACCTAGGCATCTTGCAGTGCAGCAGAGCAGCAGTGCCCAGAAGATCAGTCAGAAACCTTTCTGGGAAGCCTCAGAAGTGTCCCCACTCCCCTTCAGCTGAGCCAAGTGCCAGTGGTCAGAGGAGCAGCTCATTGCCCCAGAAGTGAGGCTGTGTGGTATTCCCCAGTTTGGGACATTGGACAAGGCACTGGCCACACAAACCCATCACCTCTCCCAGGCAGCCTGCAGCACTGACCACTGCTTGGCTGGCCAACCCTTTACTTTAAACCATGTCAGATGTTCAGCCCAACAAAACACAGCATCATAATTTGGCTAGGCAGAGTGGTGTGGTTGCTGTGATCTCAGCAAATTAGCATGTAAACATGTTTTGACTAAAGAAAACTGCAGGGCCATGCTTGAGAGCAGTTCCTGGGTGGCATTGACAGCGCTAGTGCTAGTGCCATTTAAATGTGGCCACACAGACTGGGAGGGAGGAAGGAAGCACCATAGTAAACAGCCAAAGGTCTGCCCTGGCTTTCAGGAGGAAAGCTTGCCTTGAACTCCTCTTTCTGATGAAGAAGCCACATGCTCTTGAAAAGGACATATTTTCTGGGTGCAAGGGCATCAGACAAACATCACTTCTGATTTCTGCCTCAGCCTCGACTTGATTATAGGGACATAAGAAACCCAATGCCTCTTCTTAGGAAGTAATCTGAAAAGAATAAAAGCTTATTTTCCAGACATAGTCTCTAAACTAGCCCTGGTCTGCTTCAATGACCATGGATGGAGGAGGCACATACAGAATTTTCTGTCAGATATGGAGTATCCTTAACAGCAGCAGGGAAAAATATATGATCAATTCACTTCCAATTCACTGCATAAGCTAATTCACAGAAAGTCCACATATAACATTAGTTCCCTTAGGTGTTTGCAAAGCATCTGCCTGAGCAAGGCATGCTAGCACTCACTGGTCCAAGACTGCAAACACACCTGTAAGACACTCAAATTACCCTGGTGCCACTGAGAGCTTGTACAGCACCTATGTGAGCACTGCTTGAACCTGCTTGCTCCCCTGCACCTTTGTGCTAATGCAAACACAGGGATTCAGTGCTCATGGGGCACAAAGTCCCATGTGTCACCAGGGTCAGGGGAGGTAGAGTTGGGCCAGTGGGCTACAGGTATGGAAGCTGGGGCCAGCCTGCACCTCTGTGCTGCTCGTGTGTCATGGGGAAACAGCACAAGAGAAGCAACTTCCACACATGGAG